GAACCTGGGCTCGCTGAGATTCCAGAGTGTTCCTATAGCTTGCCAGCAGAGGGCAGTCAGGGACCACAAATGAAAAAAGCCAAGTTCCACCCACAGTCATTCCCAGAGCCCAGCAGGTGTCACTCTCTCAGCCCATTGCTTACACCTGGCTCCTTAAAAAAAGGAACCAGTGGATTCCAGTTGATGCAGAATGATTGCTCTTTCTTGCCATTGTAGCCCCAAATTACAGTCTTTCTGCTTAAAGCTTGGAGTTTTCAAAGGAGCCTAAGAACAGCCCATCCCAGGACAGTGGAGCATGCAGTTCAGTTCTGCTCCATTCTGTTTCCTGGAGCAGATTGCACAGTTCTGAAACGTCTGCTAATATGACCACATTGTTCTTGTCAGCTTTTGTTTAGTTTTAATTCTTCAAAGACCTTCTGTGTCCTTCTCCACTCTCCTAGGCACAGCACTCTGTTGCTTAGCGGAGGGGCTGGTATGCAGAGACAGTGACTGACCTGTCGGCATTTGCACCCCCACTCTGATGCTGTGTAACTGCAAGACCTTGGCAAGTTGTTCGGCCTCTCTAAATCTCCAATTTTTCCTTTCCAAAATGGGTGTCTTGGCCCGAATTATGCCCCCTATAAAATGCATGTTTTGAAGCTATAACCCTTGGCACCTCAGAATGTGACCGTCTTTAAGGAGATGACGAAGTTAAACCAAGGCCCGTCAGTTGGGGCCCAAGTCTAACATGACTTGGGTCCTTACGCAAAGACAAGATCTGGATACGGAGAGAGACTTCGGGGTGTGCTGCTCAGAGACCATCATGTGAAGAGGCAGTGAGAGGGCAGCCGGCTAGCAGCCAAGGTGACAGTCCTCAGCAAAACAGCCCTCCCTGAACTTGGGCTTTCTGCACCCAGAACCGTGAGAAAATAAATCTCTGTTGTGAAAGCCGTCCGGTCTGTGGAATTTTATCATGGCGCCTTAGAAACCTGCTGTAGGCGCTGGGAGAGACTATGTGGCCTATCGCTTTGTGAAAAGCCCTTATTCAGCACCTGGCATAGGTAACTTCTGGATTGATGTCTGCAATTTTATTTCTACCCTTCATGGCTAGCTGCCCTCCCCTGCCATTCTAGAGAACTATACCATTGGATATACATTTTTCAACAGAAAAGTAGAAACCATGACAAGGTAAATGTGTAGACAATGCCACAGCAAATCCCATAAACTCAGTATTCCTTTGTCCCTCTTGCTAAAGGAAAGGCAGTCTCGCTCCTGAAGGCCAGTTTCCCCGTGCACAGTGACACTGGTCTTACTTGTTTCCTGTCATACCCTCCACAGCCTCCTACAACTCTGCCGCCTGGCTCTTGTCTCGCCTTCACAGTCCAGCTTCCAGTACCATTATACGTGTGTCTCTACTTCTGCACCTCTTTTACTTTTATTTCTGCTGTAGGGAGCATGTACTCTCTGAGAGAGAGAGACAAGGAAAGTGAGAACACACCCCCAGAGAATGGCCACTCTGCAATCCTTTCTCCTCCGTTCTACTTTTGGGATTTGGGGTACATACACACATGCGCCTAGTGTGTTTTTTAAGCCGTCAGGTCTGGGACTTGAACTGCATGGCTGCTGTGTGAGATCTAGTGCTTCAACCACCATGCCACCTGTTGGCCCCTGTATGTTTTCTCAATTGTGAAAGATACTCATATATGCAAATGTCTAGTCTGTTTAAAGAATAATAGTGCATTAGGAGTCAGATCCCACATAGACAACCATGGTTCAAATCCCAGTCCTGGCAGTTTGAGAAACATGCCAGGCATGTGTGTGTGTGTGTGTCTGTGTGTGTGTGTGTGTGTGTGTGTGTGTGTGTGTGTGTGTGTGTGTGTGTGTGTGTGTGTGTGTGTGTGTGCGTGTGCAGGCATATGCACATCCTGACAGGATGGAGAAATGGAGGAAAAGGTTCGCGACATGATCACGCTCACTGGGGAGTGCTTTCTCTTTCTCTCTCTGGTGAGTGTGCACACTTGCTGGCAATTAACGAGAAAAACAAATAAAATAAAAAATAAAACCTGGGTTATAGAAAAAAAAATAATAAAACAAACACCAATATATTCTGTAGGTGTGAAAACAGTGTGTGTCCAGAACTTTAGAATTCTCCCAGACGCTTCTTCCCTTCCTCAGTCCTGTGCTTCCCAGACACGGGTGATCACAGGTATCTGGGATCTCAGATTTGGTGTTAGTAGTTCTACTGCCTTTTAAATATGCGTATTTAGTTTTGTCACCTATTGAATTTCATTGAACTTAAGCACCTAACATGGTGAGATGTATTATTATTTTGTGTCTAAGAAAGAGAAGATGCTGCTAAATGCAATTGTAAGACATCACTGGTTATGAATTGCATCCAAATTATAGAGAGATTAAAATGTGTAAAAAATCTGTCTTTGAATCAACAAAATATGACCTGAATGCATGCCAAACAATGTGTTTCTAGTTTTGCCTATTTCTGAGCTTGACATAAGGAATCACATTGCATGAGGTTTTGGGTGATTGCTTCTTATGTCTACAGTATGCTTATGAGACTCCCGTATAGTTGTATGTGAGAGGAGCATGTTTCTGTCCACAGCCGTGTACTATTTTGCTGTAGGAATCTGCCACACTTCAATATTTGTTATTGTAATTGGCATTTGGGTCATTGCTATTTTTAGTGATTTGAACTTTTTTTTTGGTTTGTTTTTGCTATGAGGCATGTGGACTTGTGTGTGTGTTGTGAGAGAGAGAGAGAGAGGGAAAGTGAGAAATCACCTTTCAGGGGATGGCCACACCTCAGTCCCTTCTCTTCCATTCTCCTGTTGGAATTTTGAACACCTGTGCACATCTGTCCTCATGATTTTCTG